CCTGGGTTTCTTAAGTTGAATCTGTATGTAAGTCAGAACTGGCATCCAGATTCAGCCGCGGTTGAAACTGATCAGTTTCAGCAGGGGCTGACGCCAGTTCCGACTTACATACAGATTCAACTTAAGAACAAACCTACAGTCCCTATCTTGTATGTAACCCGGGGACTGCCTGTACCATAATTTAGCTAATATAACCTATAGGTTATATTCACTTTTACAAACCCCACAGCCCCCGGTATACTTGGGTGTGGGGTATACAGAATTTTTTCACTGTTCTTGCACCACCATCCCCCACCAAGACTCCACACTGCCAGCACCCTCCCCTCTGGGCAGACACCCCAACCCCAACCCACTCCTGCATCCTTCCTCCTGGCCACATACTGCATCTTCCATTGCTCTTGTCCCCTACCCCTGGCCAGGCAGAACCTGGGTGAGTGGTCAAAATTTGCTACCCCCAGAAGACTAAATCCAGCCCTTGGGAAACCCTGTACCTCAGTCCTTCGTGTCCCTTCCCCTCACCACGTGGGGCTGGAGTGCCAGAAGAGTGAGGTGTCTCAGTTGGAGGCCACATTAGTAAGGGCTGGAAGTTTTTGGAGGGTTTTTTCACTTATGTGGTCCCCAACTGATTTTTCTGTGGGTCAGCAGCCCCTGATCCAAAAAAGGCTTCCTATCCTTGCCATAAAGAAGGAAAATATTGAAAACTTGTGTTGGACATAAATTAACATTTTACTTTGTTTAAAATGAAGTTTGATAAATTAACATGGAGTTAAAAAGCTTAATCTGTTTAAATGAATATTTCCTTTCTTACTGGTTAAATTAAACTGTTCTCCCCAGCTGCAGCACTAGCATAATTATGTAAATAATGGTAAGTTTCCATTAGAAACTGGTGGTCCATGGAAAGGTTTGCATTAAGCCAAGTGGACCACAGGCCAAAAAGTTTGAAAGCTACTGCATTAAATATACTGCTGAAGGTATTACACAATTTTTTTTGTTTAGAGTGGAACATTTTCACTTACCCTCATAGTCCCACAGTCCATTGAAAGGCTTTCCTGGCTCCCCAAGTGGTGCTGGAGGATCATTAAAGAAAGGGGCACTTATTTCCATCAGCAATCCTTCATTGCCTGACTTCAGCCTGATTGTTACTGGTTCATGGTTCACTGGTAAACCGTCCCATGTGTGTTCAATTTTAAATTCCATCTATTTCATAAACAAACTGTAAATGGATGTATGTCAACAATTCCAGATTAGCCTCAAAAGACTGTCCTGTTGGTATAATCTGAAGGAAGAAAAGAAACATAAATTTTATGTGATGCTTAGGACAACAAAATAGCATTACACTCACAGAAAGATAGTGCATAGGATAACTGATATGTTTGTATCTGATCTTTCAATTCTTACTAATAAGGGAATACAACTGGACATCAGAGTCCAAAGAGTTGCATGAGTTTGCCGCAAAAATAATTTAGCCAAAGGAGTTGTTATAAAACCAAGTTCTGTACACGGTTTACAAGTTTAGCTCAAATATTAAGACAATCACAACATGCATTTAATTAAATTTATTCCTGGGCTATGTACACACAGTCATGGGGCTGTAAAATTCATCCTTTTCTGATGAAAGAGGAGGAGAGCCTGTTCCTCCCCCCTCTAAAAAACAAACACACACAACCCCACACAGGAGCTGTGTTATTCAATGGAATTCACCCTGTAGGACAGGAACATATGATATAATCCTGATCCCACATTCAAAATATAGTGCATGTTTGTGTTCTTATTCCAATAGAAGAATTTGGAAAGATGGAGAATGAAGATGTGTTTCTCTACTAATCAATCACCCAGTCAATGGCTGATTCTGATATTATATAGTCTACAGAAGTATCCATGGCCAACTGTGTTCCCATATGCCAGAATTATAGCCAAATATCTGAATGGATAAAGTCCTGCTGATACAAGGCCAGGCTCTTCAATGCTCAAGTGGCTGCAAAATACTCTGCGCAACCTCTGAGCCCTACCTACAAGCTATGAAGTAATCCAGTGGTTCTACAGTGAAATGGACATTTCTGTACAATATCGAACACGAAGTTTTAAAAAAATGAGACATCTTTCAATGTTTAAAAACAAGTCATTAGAATAAGAGCCAAGTGTATTTTCAAAAAAAAAACTAATCTCCTAATTTAAGATTAACAAATAACAAGTGTGCACGTGTTCAAAACCATATTTTCCATATATTGCCAAAGACTTTTACCACAAAACCCCCATATATTCTAAATTAGACCAAACTATATAAAAGTTTCCACTGCAAAATGCAACTTTGCTGATTTGTGAATGTGAAAATCAATTTTATGGCAAAGCATGTAATACCTGTTTTATAAAACTTCAAGATATAGAAAATTAAAATTAGAAAACATTTGGCATTAAGGATTGTTCTGCTGTAAAACACTGAAATTCAGGGATTTAAGAACTAAACCAACATTTTAACTCATTAAACCCATTCCTGAATCTTTCTTTTCATAGCAGAATGAATGAAGGGCCATGCACTAAAATAACTTTTTAGTTAAAAGGTGAACTGTAAAGCTTACTTTTCAAGGTTATCTGCAAATAACCACCATATTCTGTTACTGGCTATTCACAGATACCTTTAATTAATTTAATGGAGAGTGTGGTGGTTTAAAATGGAAAAACCTTGTCTGATGGAAGTAGAGCTGTAATAACTTGAGAATAATGTATGGTGGCCTCATTATTGCAATCTTTACCGCATAGTTAAATGGAGAGCAGTTGAATTCCAATTCAGGAGAGGTAAAAGTATGAAACCTCACACTTGAGGAGATGCACTCAGAGAAATCAGAAAGAAAGTAAGAGGCATAACCCTGCATCCACAACGCCTTCCAGCTACTCACGCATAGCAATGGCATAGGACAGTGGTTCCCAATCTTTTGATACTGGGTACCAGTAAACCCATCACAAGTTTTTGGAGGACGGTAACATTTATTTGCATATTCATCAACTTGGGTTGTTCCACCCCCACTCCTGGCTCAAACCCCCTGGCTGCATCCGGTGCCGAGCATCTGTGTCGGTGCACACGGCACCCAGTGGGTTGTTTCACCCTCCCCTGGCCCCAATCCCGGTCGCTTTATCAGCCGGCGCCGGTTCCCCGGCTGCGTCCAGCGCCGGTGTACGGCCTTCTCCCTGGGTTCTTGCTCCCTCCAGATGTAGCCCCACCGCCTGGGAGCATGTCCAACAGAGATGCCGTGGCAGCGGGCTCTCTCCCAAGAGAGCTGTACCACTACACTCAGCAGTACAGGGTGCTGCTACGCCGTCACACAAATAGGATAGTGCGCAATAATTTTTCTAAGGACCGGTACTGGGCCACGGACCACATTTTGGGAAACGTTGGCATAGGATATAACCTGACATTTTGAAAACTCTCCACTTCTGCGATAGGCTGCTTAACAGAGCATTCAGCACACATGGTTGGAGGAATTTTTTTTTTTAAACTCTTAAGTACTAACGGTCCATTCTTATTGTGACCGGTTAGCACCTGTTCAGCTGTGACATTCTAGCAAACACTATGCTAGAGTGTCACTCATCTGGTCCTCTGCACACCAGTTTGTGAAGCTTTTTTTCCATCTTACACTGTATAGTTATTTAAATTTACATTATATAGACTAACAAAATATTTTTAAAAACTCCAGAAAAACATTGACCTCCAAAGAGAACTTTCACTGTGTATACACATTTGGGTTTTATATGTTTACTAGCCTGAACACTGAAGCCAATATTTGTTTGTAATGATGCCTTAGCAGGAGTTTATCTAAAATATTCTGAACTTCTACTTTAAAATTCAGAATGTTTTTCACTTTTTGCAACACGAGGGGAAGCGGGATGAAGAGGAAGATAGAGGCTAAAGAGAGGTGAGTCTCTAAGCTGTATTAAATTAGGTTGCAGAAGATTCAGGGGGAAATTCATGCACCTACTTCACAGGTGATAGCTTTGTCAAGCCTCACAGAGACAAAGAAAGAAAATTTACAAGACTTACCACACTTTAAAGGAGTGCTTACAATTCACACGAATACGCTCTGCAAGGCAGTGGCAATGCCAGATCTACCACAGGGAATAGCAGGAACAACAGAATGGAGACAGAAGAGAACGTCCTCTGCCACTATCATGGGAAACCGTGAATCAGGTGGTGTAGAGGGAACTGAAAGGGTGCTTACTCATGTAAGAGTATTGTCTGGTTCCAAAGTACAGCATTTCAAAAACTATATCATTTTAACTAACAGGAGAAAAACATACATATGTACAGAAACATTAGGTCTTACATCTTTTTAGGTGGCAGCCACTGGAGGGCAACATGCTCATACAAATGGAGTTGATGGGACATGAACTTTTGTAATAGTAAAAACTTAAACAACCAATAGTCTTGCAGTACCTTAAAGACTAACAAAACATGGAGATAGTATCATGAGTTTTCATGGGCACAACCCACTTCTTCATTTGAACGGTGTTATTAAAGGTCCAGTCTCTACATAAATGGGGGGAGGGGAGGAGAATAGACAATTAGTGTCCATGCTCCATTAAGCAGATAGAGAAGGTACTAATTGTTAACTGCCCATTGTCTGGATTTTTTTAATGTCATTAGAATGTAGCGGGCCATACAGCCAATGTCTTTATTAATACCTCTGTTATTGGAATTAAACAGTCTGTATGCCAAAGAATTAATGGACAAATTAGGTATCTGAAAAGGCAACACACAGAAACCTGTTGGAACATTTTAACTTGCTCAGACACTCATTAATGGATCTCCAAGTCACCCTATTGTTTCAGGCCAATTTCAAAAGCCAACTCCATAGGGAAGCCTTAGAACTTAACTTCATTTACAGGTTTGATTCCTATAACAGAGGTATGAATAAAGACATTGGCTAGATGGCCACCTACATCCCATATCGTAATGACATTAAAAAATCCAAACAATGGGTACTTGGGAACAATTAGTACCTTCTCTATCAGCTTCATGTAGCATGGACACGAATTGTCTTTCCCCCTTTTCTTTCTCTCCCCCCAACTCCTATTTATTTAGAAACTAGACCTTTAATAACTCCATTCATCGGAAGAAATGGGTTGTGCCCACAAAAGCTCATGATACCATGTCCGTGTTTTGTTTCTCTCTAAGGTGCTGCAAGACTATTCCTCGTTTTAAGCTTTTCCAGTTACAGAGGAGTACCTCTCTGAAGCTTTTGGAATAATAGTTAGCTTTAGGAGGACATGATCATGCACTTAACCAGGTGTGAATCACATCCAGCAGACAGTAGAAGCATGCAGTTTTCCCTCTAAGCTAAGTTACAGCTGATTAATCAGCACCACTCAGTCCTAGGCTCAGGGCTCCAGAGTGCACTGCCTGGGTGGGACTGATTATTCACCTGTGAAGCCGTGCTGTAGCACAGCATAGACTTAGAGGGAACACTGGAGGCATATATACTAGGTAAGCATAGCCACACAATTACCAAGTTATCTAGATACATCATAGCTGTTCTGCTGTACACTGTATTGTACAGTTACGTCATACACCATTCCAAGCTTTCTGTGAAAAGTTCATTCAGCTGAACGTGATCCAGTAAAATCAATTATTACAATTAACCCAAGAAAAAGTCATCCTTACTATTATGGTCTTCTGTTTATGTTCTAAAGTCACAAACTTGACATTTACCTATGGTCCTGCATTTAGCACATTTCCATTAAATATTATCTTTTAAATATAATTTAATGGAAATATATAATTACTGAAAACTGCTTACATTCTAATATTAAAAGTATATAATCAGACTAAATAGTTTACTTTCCAGTGTATGATATTTAACAGTATAAACAAGTATCAGAAGGGTTGCCGAGTTAGTCAGAATCTGCATGAACAACAAGAAGTCCTGTGGCACGTTATAGACTAACAGATTTATTGGAGCATATGCTTTTGTGAGAAAACACCCACTTCGTCAGATGCACGTAGTGGAAATACCAGTATAAACAAGTTGTTCAAAGATTTAGTTTGCACTGACTTCACTAGTGTTTATGTAGTCTGTTGTAAAACTATGTAAATATTCAGATAAGGCGAGTACCCCATAAGACCTCTTGAGAACCACTACAATAAAGCATCAGAGGGGCAGCCGTATTAGTCTGAATCTGCAAAAGCGGCGAGGAGTCCTGTGGCACCTTATAGACTAACCGAAGTGTAGGAGCATAAGCTTTCATGGGCAAAGACCCACTTCGTAAGATGCATGTAGTGCAGTG